TGTTTGTCTATTCTTCCGTATTTTATATTTTCCTATTCGTATCTTCATATTCAGATCCATCCATAGACTGAAATGTCTGGATTTGCGTGTTTGAGTTTGTGTTATTTGATGTCTTGGTGAGTTTGAGGTAGAACCAAAATAAGCTTTGGTACAATTATTTCATATAAGCTTCCACTGTCATAGACGTTTTTTCTCGTTTACATAAGGTCCATATGGGTGGATTTTTTGTTATTAGAGGCGTGTTAAAGGCCGCCAGGAAAAAGATAAAGATAGCCGTAAAAAAAACAATTTTACCTTTTTCATTTGGATATAGACCGCATAATAAAAGATATAGACTGCCGTAAAAAATACCATTCCACCCTTTTCATTTTTTCAGTCCAAAATGAGTGATTCAGAGGTAAGGAAAAAAATGATTAGACTTGTAAAATTTTAGGCCGAAATAGGTCGAGCCGGCAGACATACTATCCGGAATAGGCCGGGACGACGGTCGTGCCGTCCCGGCTTAGCCTAGACTGTATTTTTGCCGGTTTTTAGGACCAGAGACGGCAGTGTCGCCGACCCTGCGGCCATAGTAGTCATGGCCGCTGCCCACAGCGTCCAGGGCAACACAGGACACCGAAGCTGCCGTCCCTTCATGAGCAAACCGGTGTGTCCACTGGCTCGCTTATCCAGGGCTGGTGTGCCCGGCGGCCCGGGTATTTTTTTTTTAAATTTCAGTTTTATTGATTTATTTAGTTAATTTATCGTGTTTTATTAATTATCGCATCATAATTAAATTGAATAGGATTCATTTAAGTTATTTATCATGCAAATCTATTATTTTATGTCATTTTAAGTTTTTTTTTATTTAGTAAGAGTAATTAGGTATTTTACTAATAAGTTATTTAGAGTATATGTTTGGAATTTGTAGGATACAGATGAAAACGAATATCACAGTGTTTCTTTTAACACTAACGAGATATGCCAATCACTGGATGACGCTATTTTGCGTGCACAAGAGATTGCAATCAGCAATAATTTTGAATTAGTGAGAGATTCAAAGAAGGACAACGGGTATTTGCTGAAATATAAGAAAGGTGGATGGTACAGGCCAGAGAGGTACATAGATGAAACCACTAAACGCCGACCAAATTCGAAGACCCAAGTGGCTGGGTGTAAATTCGAGGTGTTCATCAGAAGATATAAAGAATAGGCGAGCGATGTGTACAGAATCTGACCAAAAACCGATGAAAATGCTTTGCAACAATCATCCGATGATACAACATCCAGAGGGTCATCACCAGATGAGTAAGCTGAGCGAGGGAGTAAAAAAGATGATAGAAGACAGGTCTGCGGCAGGAGCAAGACCGATTTACATTCTAAATGCACTTCAAAAGGAGTATCCAGATGACCATGTTACGAAGCGCCAAATTTACAACTACAGAAACAAATTACGCAAGATGGGGTGCGTAGTACTTGATGGCACGGGTCTTGATGTTGCTAATAGGACTTTTCGGTTGGCCTGAGAACACAACTATATAATTGTGGCGGAGTCAGATCCGAGTACAATGGCCTTGACCCGGGTTTATCGGTATGGATAGCACGCATAAAACCAACAGGTACAGAATGCGTTTTTTTTTTTGAATTTATCGGGATGACTCCGTGCAACAAGAACTTTTTGATTACCTATGTTCTGTTGGATGCTGAGGCTATTACTTGGAGATAAAGAGCAGCTAAAGGTTTTATTCAGTGATCGAGAGTCAGGGTTAATGGGACCAATCAGTGATGTTTTTCCCGAGTCTACCCACTTGTTGTACACATGGCACATCCACAGAGATGTGAGAACCAAAATCCAGACTCTCTTGGTGGCACTTCAATATTCCTTAAAAAGTTCAGGGAAGGAAGATGGTCAAAAATTATGGAAGCTGAAACTGTGAAAGCATATGAAGAACTAGTCAGAACCATAGAGCAACTGTAAGTCCTAATAAGTTATTTTGAATAATTATGTTTTCTTTTTGAAGTAGATATTTCGTTATTAGTAAGGTTAAGTACTTTCTTGGTATTGCAGTTATAGTCCTTATAAGGACTTACTTACATATGTGAAAGAAACATGGATACCAAACAAAGAGAAGTTTGTATGTGCGTGGACGAATAAAAAGTTGCACCTTGGGAACACGACAACATGCAGAGTTGAGAGTACATATAAGGCACTAAAGAATTGGATTGACTCGCCAACAGGTACTATTGACACGATTTGGGGAAGACGCACAATGAGATTAAGGTGCAACTAATTGAAATCAGGTATGTAATGCCTTAGTTTAATATTCATGTGCATATCTTTAATTTTTTTTGGATGTTAATACATTTTTTCCTGATTTTTTGTCAATCAGGAGAACACTAGAAGAATCGCAAAACAAGAATGAATACCATACAAAGGTTATCCATTTTACCACCTCAATTCTGTTGTTTCAAACCATTGTTTGCAAAAGCTGCAAAAGGAGTATGAAGAGATGCAGACAAAGGGAGACAAGTTTGTATGTGATCATAAGCTGAGATCCACTCATGATATTCCTTGTGGCTGTGAGATGAAGGTGACAGTGGACACGGGTCTGGCGATTCAGGTTTTTTTTATCTCAACTCGTTTTGGGCTAATTTCAATATCGACGAGAGTCCCGTCAATACTAGGCCTGATGGACTGTCAGATGATCAAGTCTTATGGAAAAATTTGGTTGGCGTGGTCGAGAATAGAGATCTATTGGTTATGTGTAGGGCGAATGGTTGGCTCTATGATCAAATTTACCCAGATAGAGGGCACATGAAGCAACCGGAGAAGAAGAAGAAAGTAAAGGGGCACCCAAAAGGAAGCAAGAATAAACCACGTGAACAAGTCTATACTCAATGGAGATTACTAATCAATACCACGTGAACAAGTCTAAGAACCATTTATTAATATTTTGTTTTATGTCAACACTATATATTGTTTATTAATATTTGATAATGTATTTTTCATGTTATAGATGTGGTACAGCAAAACATTTACGAATATGATGACCTAGAGAGGATTGTGCCTTGTATGATTCCGTACATTACTGGATATGTTGATGTGTTGGGTGATGGAAACTGTGGATTCCGCGTTATGGCGAGCCATTTGTTTGGATTCGAGCATCAATAGCATAATGCTAGAAGAATTGGCGCAGATGAGCTAGAGAACGTCCAGATTTGTACGATTTCTTCTTCGAAAGAGACATCCCCAAGCATGTTCACCGCATTCGATGGTATGAGAGTCCTTGTTCTGAAGATCATTACATGATTACTTTTATGGACTTGCTCATGTATGCCACTCGCTTCAACATGGTTATCTTCTTATACGGGCGTGGAGTAAAAGGTCAGAATATGAATACATCATCAAGAACTATATTGCCCCTCATTGCTCCCAGTGGCCTTAATGGGCCTTTAACTAGACTTGTTCGGGAGATTGCCATTGCTCACCTAGGCGATTACAAGCATTATATTCGGCTAGATTTTGTGGGTTCAGATTTTCCAGTTCCGTCCATACCTTATCAATGGTTCTGCCACCGTGACACTTCCGTTATTGATTGGGAGCAGCCATATCTCAGGAGAATAGAGCTTTGGCACACTTTATGTCCCGATAATGGACGGACACAATCCCCTCAGTCTTCTCCCTTTAATGTTGAGTAGAGTACCAATTATCTGTGGATTGGTGTATTTGAGATTGTCGCCTAACTATTATTATATTTAGCACAATTTCATTCAATTTGTTTGCAGTTATATATTTTAGTTGTAATGTACGAACAAGTTAAAAACATAATTAAAAAACACAATCACAGGTCTACAACAATGTCTAAGTTGAAATTCAAACATAATTAAACAAATACTAAAAATAAACATGGTCCGAATTAAAAACCAAGGCAAAGCAAAAGACATCAGTGCGCTTGACTCCAACGAAGAATGAGATCCTCATACTCCTTCTGTAATTCTGGGCCATAGTCATCATCTGTCACCCTCAGCCTGTTGATAGCTCTAGCAGTGAGGTCGGACCAGTGATCTGTCTACTACATTAATGTAGAAGCAAACAAGAATAATTGTTATATAATAATAATTAATATAAACTTAATCAGGAGAAATATTGAACAACTTACATATTGAACACTGGCGCACGATGGAATAGAGTTGACTATCGAAGAACCCTCATTCTCGAGCAAAAGCTTAGGATGGGAATAATGGTAGAACTAGTTGAGATAACCATCAGCACATGCTGCCTATGCCGAACGAGTGTACGAGCTGAGAATAAGGCATCCTGACTGGGGGAATCTAAGCCAAGCATTACCCGCATACACTTCAGAAAACTCAACCTTGTAGTTGTCGCCACTCATCGGCCTCGATGCAAGTTGCGGGACAACAATCGGCATAGGAATTGTCTGCACATAACAGAGCTGTCGAAGCACGCGATCTGGCATGTATGGCTCAACAAAATTCCTGAAAGCGAGCCATCCAGTGAAGATTGTTCTAGGCACCACCTTGTATATATCCTTACCGAATGGCTCCCACACCACCTCTAAAATAAAAAATTATTTATACATATTAATAAATAGTTAATAAAAATTAAGAAACAAACAAACAACAAAATCTGAACAATTAAACTTACATTACCCGGGGATAAGGTGTCAAGATCCTTCCGTTCAATCCCTCTCCCTCTGCAGCAGTACACGCGGCTAGCTTTCATTGTGCAGCTCTGGGTCCATCGCCCGCCTAGTGTGGATTATGAGGCCGGAAGATCGGGAAATACTCATATATCCAGGCTAGAAATAGGGTCAAACAACCCCCCATCTGCTTGACACCACCTCTACTAGCAACTCCTAATTATCGGTAAAGGTATGCTAGAGTCGCAGATGCCCAGGAATGACTTGATACTCCATCAAGGTCATCAAAAATCTCGTGTAGTAACTGTGCATGTATTTTGCCGCCCCCACTCTTGTCAACAAACAATGTGGCACTCAACATCACCCACAACCAAGCAATGGCTTGTACCTTTGGGTTTGTGCTACCTCAGACTCGGTCCATGACAAATGACTCAACATAGCACCACTCTTATACTTTGGGGGTTTCATATTTTCTACAGATAAGTTCAAAAGACCCATACAGTGGTTCTTCACTGTTTCGCACTTGGGAACGGCCGTCACTATCTCTCCCTCAACAGGGATGGACAAAGTGCACTGGACATCATGAAACATGATGGTCATCTAACCAAAAGGCATGTGGAACGAATTCCTATCTCGTTGTCATCGTTCCACGAATGCACATACTAGGCCGATATCATTATGCGAGAACATCAGTCCTGGAAATTGAGACAACTTAGTCGTCTTAACCAGCGGCCTCGCCCTTTCAAAACCTAGAGAATTCTTCCAGCCTGTCAACATCTGGCAAACGAGGTCTATATTCTGTAACTTGAGACAACCTCGATCCGTACCCTGCCATAACAAAGAGGCAACGTGTCCATTGAAGTTGGGAATAACCGATCCATCTTTAGGCCCACCGGATACTGTATCCGTTACAATCCATGACCGAACATCCGATTTTTTCAATCGACTGCTACTCCCTGAAAAAGAAATGATATGTAATTATTAGATTTTATTTATTAACTTCAACATCAAATAACTAATTTATATGATTAATATTAGCTTCAATTTTCACACAAAATTAATTCATACCTGATGCTACTGTAGCACCCTTACGGGAATTTGTCCCAGTCCCAGTGCCACTACGACCTCTAGACAGGATAAAACGAAGTCGTAGAATTAGGGGGGAAGGGGGAGGGGGGTAATTCACTACTCTGTGATTGTAAAACATTGTGTACATGCTCTTCTTGCTCAAACGAGGGTGCCTGCTGATATAAGGTGTGTCCAGCTCTGTGTGCATTACTGTTGGCACTCCCTTCTTCCTCCATTTACTCAATCTCCACATGTTTGTTTTCATTATGGCCCGATGACAGGAGATTCCGCGATTTCACATGCCGCTTACCCGATTCTTTGTTGATCCGGCCAAGTGATTCCTGCATTTAATCACTGTTAATTACACAACCAAATAATAACACGAATACAAATTATTTCGTTCAACAATATTTAATTCACTAATAACTCATATAATCATTAATTATAAAAAATATTAATTCATGGTAATCATATTAATAAACTAATTCCATTAATTATCAAATAAATTATATTCATACAATAATTAATCATTAATTTATTTAATAACTAACTATATTAAACTAAATAATAATAAATAGTAATTAAAAACTAAATTAAACTAATTAAATTAAAAGAACTAAATAAAGTAAAAGAACAAAATTACACTAATTAAACTATAAGAACTCAATTACACTTATTAAAAACTAAATTATAAAACAACAAAATATAATAAATAAATTAAATTACTAAATAGAAAAAAAAATTAAAAAACGAATAAATAATTAAATTACTATTTTTTTAAAAAAAAGAAAAGAAAAATACCTGGCCGGGGGCGCTGCCTGCCAGGAAATAACAAGACGGCCTGTGCTACTGTCTTGTTTACAGGTGGACGGCGTCCCTGCTGTCCACCTTTCTGGTCGACGGGAGCTGGGCCGTCGACCATGCCCCAGGACGGCACCAGGGTCGTCCCAATTTCTTGGGAACGAGACCACCGTCATCGGCTTCTTCGTGGACGCCGATGGCAGCCACCAAACTTGACAGCGTCCCTGCCGTCAAGTTTCGATTTGGACGATGTCCATACCGTCCAAATCGGGGGCCGACGCCCCAGATGTCGGTTTTGGCTTCCCAGGACGCCAGGCCGGTAGGCGGCGGCCTTTTAGACGTCACCGCCGCCGGCCCACCCTTTCTCAGATTCAAAAAGGAAAAAAAAATTTCAGATTCAAAAAATTAAAAAGTTGGAAGATTTCAGAAAACTTGTTCCAGTGGATGTTTCCAGCGACGGCTATCTCCTCTGACCATCGATCTGAAGTCTACGAAGATTGAAGATTGGAGAGAGTGTTTGAGGTTGAAAGAAATTGGAAGATTGGAGTGTAGGGTTAACATTTAGGGTTTTAAAGTTTGAATTTGAAATTTAAAATATAAGGGTAAAATTTGAAGTCAACTTTCGGTCAATGACGATCTTTATATTTTTCCTGGCTGGCGGGCTTTAAGCTTCTAATTTTTTTATTATTTTAAAGATTCACGAAGAATTGGTAAGGAAAAATCTTTCCTACATATGAGGTCCAACCTCGTACAAAGTTGCTTTCAGCTATTGCTTATCCACAAATAGCAAAACTGGCGTGGATTGTATCCTTGGAACAGCTTCGCCCGAAAAATTACTTGTATCGTTGAGTGTTCGCTGTGCCTACTATGTGAAGTTGTGTTCTGTTATAAATCACTCGAATGGACCTGTCTCCGTTGCGTACTTATGCAATGTGGACTGTATATGAAGCGAAGGAAACCGAGCTTTGCACCACATTCATGAGAAAGTGAACAATATTGTGATATTGAACAAGTCAACTAAAATTATTTTACAAATTATAAACTATTGCCTACTTAACCTTTTTTCTCTCTATTTTTACATCTTACGATTCTACAATATTGATTCTACTGGCCAATGCATTTGATCAAGAGGAGGAGGTAAACTATATCAACAAAGATCATATGAAGATTGACTGCCAACCGATCATCATTCCCCCAATAATAGTGACTCAATAAGGGCGGCCTCTTCTTCCTGTAACACGAGATTGAAAAAATAGGAAAAGGTTTTAGGCTTCATCGAAAACAGACTAATGAATGCTAAACTAAATCAACAACTACATACCGCTAAAGCATTGAATTCAGTTTCCTCATCAATTGCACTTACGATGGCTGGGTCATCCAAGATTTCCTGGTGCAAGACATTTAGGTTAAGGAAAATGCATCATGAAAGAACAAGCTCTAAGGCCATTGAACGACTTAGATGCAGTTCGCTCTCCAAAGAACAATGATATTAATAGACTGATAATACTTAAGATAAGGTGGGCAACTGGACTACAGATGCATTGTCTGCAACAACCATATCTATTACTATTATTATACGAGCTTTAAGTTCTAGTAAACGCAAGCATTATGGAGGTGTAGTGGCTTACATCATCAGCAATTCGTAAGACACCATTTTCATCCTGCATTCAAGAGAAAGGATGCAATTCAGATTAAACAGAAAATTAGCAACAGGAGAAAGATTGCCTTAAATGTCACAATAAGACGGAAAGAGACTATGTTTCACAATAACAAGTTAACTTAATACTGTCCAAGAGAAATGTGAATATTTCAAATGCCTCCACAATGTATGGGATATAAAACCATGATCCACCACATGAAAGTGATTTCTCCAATGTCATTACATTTCCAATTACTTTCCACATAAGGTCTAAAGAAAATTATGAAGTGCTCCCCCAGTTCCCCCCTTTTGACATTGGAGTGACATTTTGCATTCAGCATTGATTAACATTTTACATTCAGCGGTTCATGTGTCGTAATAGTTTTTCAAATTTCTTTCAGCAGAAATGATGAAACCATAAGCTTTTCCATTTTCTTTTCGAAATTGATGCTATGCAAGAGTGATCTAGTAAATTTCAAATATCAAAAGAACTTTCAGAAACAACTGAAACCATTCAAATGTTTGTGATGCCTCTTATAGTTATACTGCAAACTAAGATTTTAGACAATTTGTGAACTAAAACATATCTGTTGGATATTTGAATTCCGTGACTATCTCCTAAACCATAACAAATGCAGCTTACGTATTAGATTACACCATCCCAATATATAATATCAACCCTGCGCTCACAAAGGTTGGGCAATGCTGGACTTGACTACCCCAACAGATCTTATTTGGGCAATCAACTTTAAGCCAATGGGCTATCAACTATACATTTGAGGAGTGCCCAAATAAGTAATGCAGAGAAGACACGTTGGCAAAATAATTGGAAAGCCGGAAAAAAATACAAAGGAAGAAAAAAATCACAATATTTGGAATAATATGTCGTTGGACCGCTTTTTCATGCTTTAGGGGCCCTTTCAAATCCCTCAATATTGACACGATTATCCTAAGCACCCGATTGAAATAAATAAATAAAAAGTAACCAGTTTCATGTGCCAAGGGATGTTTTGGGACTACATTTCAAATCCTCAAATATGAGGAGCAACTAGAAAGTATTCAGTTTTAACACAGTACCTACCATCTCTTTTGACATAGCAAAGTGATGGAGATACTTACCCTCATATCCACACAACTGGGACCAACCATTACATGACTAACATCAAAGTACTTAGAGATGCATAGTTACTCATGTTACTGGAGCTGTTAAAGAAGCTCAAATCAATCAGCTCATTGTTTAACTAGAAGTTCCCTTCCGATCAAGTCCACAACTAACACCATACATTACAAGAACCACACAAATTAGGAGTGAAATGAAAACAACTATGCAATACTTAACAAGGCATCAATATGGAGAGAAACAATGGACTTCCAAAGGACAAACATAGAATTGATATGCAATTAATTAAGAAAATTTTCTTTACCTTGACAGCAACAAAGAGAAGGGGGTCTGATGGCGTGTAAATCATGTAGTGAGAACCCTCCTGTAGATGCAGGAAAGTTAAAAAGGATTAAGAAGAAGGAAACCAATGTGAAGACAGCTACAAACAAACCAACAATCATGATTGTTGAAACAATTAACTGGGTTGGCAACATATTTCTAGCAACTTACAGAAGCTCAGTACATAGAGAGTAAGCACTAAAAGCCAAGTCTCCATTTATCAACTTAGAGCTCAAATCCATATATTTTGCTTTCTGGGTATATTCAACCAGTCTATAAAGAGTGTTAGGGCAGGAACAAGGTCTATAACTTTCTGAAAATAGCCAAAAACTCCAAATAAAAGTCTTAAACCAGTCTTTCAATTCGTTTGGTCAATAGTCCATATTTTTGACAAAATTATAAGGCCAAGAATGATGCATCAAACATATCGAAAGCAGCCAAATGATATCTTACAGTGTTCTCTGGATTCTCATAGATAATGATACAAATAGAACAGATATGTTTATTGAGCTTCAAAGCCAGGAAGGAAAGACAACAGTAATAAGTACACTAAACTAACAAATTAGGTAAGAAGCAATTCATCTATAAGTAATCAGGAGGCATGGATAAAACACAGGTCCCCAAGCTGTATGAATTTCAGTAGAGTACATCATAGATCACATACCATATGGAAGCATGTAATTTCTATGCCTTCTGTTGGCAAGCCATCAACATCTTGACCATCATCTGCATATGTATATATTGCTTTGTTCAGAAACCTAATTCATTCGTTTACATTGATGGAAAATAAATGAAGAGGGCACCAATTCTACGAGAAAAAGAACACCACCAATTACAAAAGACAATGAACACCAGAGTGGTTGAGGATTGGTTCTCGCATCCTGTGCCAAAAGGATGGTCGAGTTCGGTTGGGTGTTCATCAACCAGGTAGCAGTAACAACTAGATATTAAAGATCTTTTGATAGGTTACTTGTATCTCGCATCCATCAGTCTAGTTTAGTCTTCTTCTCTTACATTGAAATTCACAATCCTGTCTATGCTAACAGCAAAGACAACAGAAGGAAAGCAGGAACCCAATAAGGTCACGCTGTTGACAAAAAACAGCACGAAAATCACATGCCCCATGCAATTGGCCATGAACTGAGTTGATAGATGAGACAATCTACATGTAAGATATGCGCAGCTAGAGGAATAATAATTCCGCATTCGATCTGACAATTGCTAATCGTGCCATATATTTTCTACAATTTTCTTTCAACGTGAATGACTGACATTGTACAGCCATATAAGGCGAAAATAGAATAAGAAACACCGGTTATCATAGAGGTTTTCAGCTACCTATGCCAAGATTGCATGGGACACTACTGAAGAAGAAATACTTAACATGTACATAAGATATAACCGTTGCATCCTTTCATCTCTTCCACAGTAGAGATTTGCCCATGACAATGTAATCAAACATTAGAAGATGCCACATTTCTCCATGTATCAAAGTAAGAGTTAAATTTTCAATACAGACTTCCTAGCAACCAATAAGAATGATGATCAAATCCCCACCACAAACAAAAAACTTACCCATGTTATTAAGTATAATGATAGAATATTATTTTATTCAGCATCTTATGCTCCAATCATGAAAACATTCTCATTTGAAATGAACAATATCTAGAATTCTGAAAGCAAACAAATTTGCTCAAGGCATCACTTTGCCTCCGAGTTACCTAATGCCTTGAAAGTAATTCTGAAACATGAAATCCAATATGTGATAGGTTTTGGGCCTTTTAATAATTAAACTTTAGGACTAAAAGTTAAAAGCTTTGCCTGTGCGAAATTCAAATATGTCATCTTCTGTGTAACAGAATCCTCCACGTGCTGTGTAACAAAAGCTGAATACAAAACACACATATTGAGTCATTTTTTGATGTAGTAAGGAAAATCAGTTTTAAGTCAAGAGAACGATGGTCATACCCGCTATATACCAGATGCATATGTATCTTGGCAAGGGCATAAGCTGCGGTAGGGAGTATTGCTTCAACTTCTTCATCGCTAACCTAAAAAGTAGTCGTGATGGAACTGAATCAGGTGATAAAATAATGTATAAGAACAAGGAACTAGGAAGCTATAAGTAAGCCACGTATAGAGAATAATAATATCAGAAGCACTCATCAACATACATATTAGAAAACATTTGGAACAAGGGCAAGAACGAGTGCTAGTTTAAGAGACTCTTTCTTGTGGCAATCCATGAAAAAAAGACATGAAAGGAAGAGCAAATTTGAAGATGGTCGGCATTTTACACCATTTAATAGCAGCATATATGAAAGGTAGAAGGTTTCATATAAAATTCTCAACATGCAGTAGTAATCATAATTATAACTGCAGTAGTAAACATAATTACAACAGGAATAGCAAATTTGCTCCACGCATTACATATAGACTCTAATTAAACTTCATTAAGGAGTATGCTTTAGGTGCCTTGGTAATTTATGCTAACGGATTACTCCTAATTGAGAACTTAATCATTTTGTAATCTTTAATCTTCATGAATCACGACTAAGGTTTTTCCTTAATTTATGCACATGGCCCATGACTTAATAACATCCATAAAGACACTGACCACCTAGACCTTGGAACCCCTACAAGTGGCATCACCAACAAAATCACATGTAATTAGAGGTCTGAAATTTCCACCAGGGAACAGCTCATGATATCCACTTTTCCACCGTCTTGCCAACCCTCTATCCTTCATCAAATGATCTCCTACATTTGACTAGGAATAATTTTCTATTCAAAGGAAACCATCAACGACAAGGTGAACATAATCTAGCTCCATTGCTTGCACTTTCCCTAACTTGATTAAGTTTTGGTAGCCTTTAATCCAGTCATGGTTATGCAATGGCCAGTTTTCCCTTGCGATGCATTTTCGAATTATTTGAAAAAGGATCCAACCACATATGATTAACTACTGACACCCAACTTAGCACACATATAGATGCTCCCCCATATTATCCACATTTTAACCGGAGGGCTCAGAAGAATACTAGAAAAACCTGAAAACATGCTCTTCCTCCAACTAGCCAACTGCTCTAATATCATTGAATATCTCAACCTTAAGCAATCCCAGTAGCATGGCAAGGAATTGAAGGACAAAGCATCAAGATCATGAAGTTCAACAAAAGTATACACCAGAAAAATGAAGCTAAGGATCTTTAAGAACTTGACTAGTAACTATATGCAAAGAACAAAGCACTCTTCCAACAAGTTGGTGCAATGCAACATGAAGCAACACAGTAACTATTGCTTCTTAGTTCATCCAAAATCCACAAGCACGTCTCGTAATTCATAATGTATTTCCTTGAAATTTTTTATTTATTTATTTATTTTTTTGGGGGAGGGGGGGGGGTGGGTGGGAACTTATAGCTACAGTATATGATTGCCAGTGATGGGTGTGAGACATACAGCAGACCATCCTTCCACATTAGTGCTTTTCAAAATCTGAACAGGCCTGCAAATGAGAATATACTCAGTAACAACTTTTGAAGAGGAAAAGGGTTTGTAAAAAATCTTAATTTCACTTACATATCAACAGGTAAGAGCAGCATACATTCATCTCCCCGATCACTTCTGAATATTCGTCTGATGACACATTCCAGTGGGAAGTTGTTTGTGGGATCAATCTGTCAAATGACAACATCTGGATCAAAAATTAAAGAAGAAAATGAAATCAATCTTCGAAAAAGATATATAGCTGCCAAGAACGAAAAAGAAAGACCCCTCAGAAAAAATAAGGCCACAGGAAAAGAAAAGCTAAACGCAGCCAATATGAATAAGTCAATCATTTGATATTCTTTTAGGACTGTATTATTGTAATTATGTGCTAATTCGTTGTCGTTAAGATGAAAGCAAACAATGACAGAAAATAAAAAGTTTTTGTGGTGTACAATCATCTCAACCTCAGTTTACAGCCCACTGTATATTTTTTTTCTCATTGGTTTTTCGTTACTATAATTTCAATAAACGACAACACTAATTGGGAACTATTCTCATAGAAACAAAAATTCATTACATTCTCTTTTGGAAGGTCCTCCAAAGGCATATAGATTTGAACAAGGATTGTTTATCAATTCACTAGATTCTTCAATAAGTATTAAAGGCTACTAAGGGATATAGCACCTGAAGTAACAATAATGCAAAAATCAAAAAATTGGGAAGGCCGGGGATAGTATCACCTTACCTGTTCAGGAATTAACTGCCATTTCAAGCTATCATTCCCAACAGAAAGCACTTTCTTTAAAACTACTACCAATAAAATTACCACTTCCCATCATGTCAGAAACACAAAACTTAGTTATATACGACTAGAAACAAATAGTCACATATTTGCTACAGCAGGGTTTAAGTTCAGCTGCAAATCAATGCTACATCCCCTAACAAAAGCTTCGCCCAAAAGTACAATTTTGTTCTCCAATTTAAAATGGGTGAATCTCAGGTTAGAAGACAAAGTGGACTAATCTTGGATTTATCATTCACACAGATGAAAGGAAATACAACTTTTAGAAAGTACCACAGTTACAATGTGAACGGAAGAGAATTATTGGGAACTTTTCAATTTCTAAACATTAAGCTATCTAAGTTTCTCGGTAGTTTGTGGGTACAACACTAGGTTAGTTGGTAAGATCAGAATGCCCGGCATCAGGTGTAATTAACTTATCATTGGCATTATAGAAATTACAGAACTTCGGGAGAGCAAATTTCTTCTACTTCTAACCTGCTTGCACCACCCATGAAAAATCTCACAACACAATCACATGTGTATCCCTCACATTGAGACTTTGAGAAAATGGATTAAAGGAAAGAAAAAAAATAAATAAATTGTGGAACAAAATTTCATTATTTTTTTTCCAAAAAATTTCAACTATTTCATGCTCAGAACGAAGCAGAATATACAATTTAGAAAGCCAGTTTGAATTATAAACCTGTTATAAGGTCTAGATAATGATTTTCCTTTTCAATGAATTCCTGAACATAGGATAAAAAATGATTCCGGAAAGAAGTCCTCAACAACAGGGATTAATCAAAAAGGAAATTCATCTGTATAAACTTTGTCTCCTATGTTTACAAATATCAGGTCTAGCTCATTACTTTCTCTCTGCGTCTTTTAAGTTTTGTGTTACATCATCCCTAAATTTAAGAATTTCCCATTCGCTAGAAGTTACTGAGGTCAATCCAATAGTCTCCTAAGCTCATGTCTCAATCACCTTAGATATCCCTCAACTCTCATCTATCTATAGACCATAGGGCACGTTACTGAGCTTGTCATATTTAATGGATGCACATTACTTATCTACAGTCTTTCTATCTGGTCTCAATTATTTCCATTTTGAGTTGAAAGCTTTTTTTTCTTGAAAGCTTTTTTTTCTCCACAGTCCCTTCAGGTACAGCTCAAGATTCTCAGGCTTCTTCCCGGCCCACCTTAAGAATGCTTATCTTGTTCCAGTCAAGATACTGTCAAGGGGGAATGCCGCTGTGTGTTAACCCTGGGCTTCCCTTTCAATTACTTTTTTTTTTTTTTAGAACGAGAGAACCTACTACCGTTAGTGAAACGAGGCCTCAAACAAACATCAGTTCAACTTCATAAACTATTCTTGCAATCACAGCAATGAACTACATCTTGTTTTGTGTTAATAATTACGGTTGCACAAACATCTAGCAGAGAAATGGTTGCAGGACCATAGTAGAAAATTATTAGGGCAATGAAACGTAAATGAATTGAGGACAAAAAAAACTCACAATTGTAGTAATCCGCTTATTAGAAGCCAAGAGAACTCTGCCTTGTTCATCGATTACGAACCCAGCTGGAGGCTTCGGCATCGGGAACGACCCGCCTTCCTGTTCCAAGACCTCCACATCACTCAAACTAGTAACCCTTCTCGTATTATCGCCATTTTTGCTGTTGGGCTTCTTTTTCCGCTTTGAATTTGGAGTTGGTGAAGGGCGTTTCTTCACCGGTCCACTTTGGTGCTTCGCTGAAGAACAAACGAACTTAGCAGACGACTTGGGAGGAGAAACTGAGAGGAGCCAATTCGCGTTGTTCTTCCTCCGGTCGAGTAACGAGATGACGCCCAAATGGGAGTCGAAGACTGACTTTGGCACGAGGCCGAATAGAAACGGACGAGTCATTGACGCCATGGATGCAGTGAAGGGCATTTGGCCCACCAAATGTATGTAGTTTGGTTCTTCGAACGTTTTCCGTCTGAATGAAAAGAATGGATTATTACGAGCTGAAACTCAAATGTGACACAAAAGTTTTCTTTTTCTTTTTCTACTACTAGTTTTTATTTATTTATTTATCTTAGCTTAATTACATCTATCTTTCCTATAATAGATAAAGTTACTGCTGGACTCATCTTAGTACTTCAATAAAAGTCTTTGGAACAAATATATTAAGTACTGTATAAAATATTGAGTGAAAAAAATTTACTCCCAGATAAGATCTACTCCGTTGAGAGGCCACGATCCAACGGCCTATATTAATTTTGATGCCACGACTTAGTGGGATTCAATCCGTAAATTAATATATTGAATTTTCTCTTTATTTTCTCGTTTTAAACTAAATCCCAGGACTGAAGAAACGACGTCGTTTGATTCGGGGTTTTCCTTTTTTAAACCCCGACTGCAAAAACGACGTCATTTGGGATCAGGGGGTTTAAATGAGTGCTGCTGGAACACTCTCTCCCTCCCTGCACTCCCGGTTGTCTCCCTTAGGCCTTTGAATGAGAACAAGTTCCGGTGCCAAAGGGAAGCAAAGTCACCTCCTCTACTACGGGATCTTGTGGAGCTTCCGTTTTGATCTTCTCTCTCCCGTTTCCAGTTGGCTTCAATCGTGGATTAATCATTCAATTGCGATGGCTTGCTGACGGAGGAGGTTGGCATGGAGCTGGCCGCGGCGGAGGATGGGGCGGATATTCATGGTAGATCTAGAAGGCCGAACGTACGGCTGCAAGTTTCGCAAAACCCACCTGGCCGTTGCTGATGGTCTTGTCTCTAGGGTACTATCTCTGGCTAATCTTAATTTCCCTTTTGCTTCTAGAACTAGGTTTTGTTTTTCACGCGCGATAAAGTTGATTTTTGTGTTCCATACAGCAAATACAAGCTAATTTGTTTTTAGCTCTGAGTACTCTTTTGAAGTAATTTTAATTGAAGAGCCTGTTGCATTGTGTTTTTTCATTTGGTGGGTGTTTTGATGTTTGATGTTTTCTCCCCAGATGTTTTCAGTTTTGATAGAAAAAAAAGTAACTTCTTTTGACTAACAAGTTCAAAGTTGAGAACATTTTGTTGTTCTTGCTAATTTTCCCTTTTGAAATTTTTGTTCAGACTGAGGTTTGTTATAAGGGGTTTTAGCTTATCTTAGGTTCAGGAATCAGGAGGTACCTAAAGAATGGGAGAAGGGTCTTTGGTTTTTTTTTTTTTTTTTTTTCGTTTTGCATTTCTAATGAAACTGCAAATCTGAAGATCCCCTTATGGTAATTAACCAATTGATGACTTTTCTTGAAGCAGTACTCTTCATTAATCAATTCTAGATTATAGCTCTCAAGAGCTTTTTATTTTCTTTTAAAAATGAACTGGTAGTTTTATAAATTCTCTCTTGATGATCATTTCAATAGAATTTGATAAACACTAGAAGTAGTCCATGCAAAAGTTCTGCTAGGAAATCCCCTGTTAAGGCTGACACTGATGTGCCCACAACAACAATGGATGGTTCCTATGATTCTAAAAAGTTAAGGTTAAAGGACAATAAAGCTGAAACCAACGATTCAAGCAAACTGGAAATGCTGAGGGAACACCAGGATTTAATACAGCAGTTGAAGTTGGAACTCGGAAAAGTAGAGCTACGGGTCTATCCACTATCTTAGAGGAATATGAGGATTTGCCCAGGATTTCTGATGAGCTGAAACCATGGAAGATTGATGAAAGGTTCCATCGTAAAGAATGCAACAGTGAACTTCACAAATTCTACAAGAGTTACAGAGAAACGATGAAGAAATTTGACATCTTCAATTACAAAAGATGTATTTAGTAGGCCAGTTTTCATATTCACTTCAATGACGGTACAAATTATTATGGTCACAATTGAGTTTTTTTGGCATTCATTTCTCCTCCTTTTGGTTGGGTCCTCTGTCATAGTTGCCCATTATTATTATCATCATAAAACCACTGGTCTAAGCCAATGAGTGACTTATGGACATTAAAAACCAACGTAATGAGGAGCTATTGTTATTCATAATTACAATTGCGACCTACAAAATCTGGTTTCGTGGGTCTGCCTAACAACACAAAAACATAAGAGTCTTGCTCAACTTAATGCATTTTAGTGATGAGAGCTCACTGACAGAGAAGGCTAATGATTGTCTGTTTTGTGCTTTATAGTTTCATTGATTTAATACATGGCTACTAAAACACTTGTTTCATCATAGTAGTAGTAGTTGTCTACAGTTGAAAAGTTACAATTTATGTTTACTATGCAACCACCAGTTGAAGAAACAGGCAATCAACATCTCACTTTTGCATGAGTTTCCTTGAAATGCAGGAGAAGAAGCCAAAAGACATAGAAGTGGAAATTGCATACAGAGGAAATTTTGACAGTGTCAGAAAGATGATGTGGATCAAGTGCTTTGCTTCTTCTCACAAGTAGATATGAAGTAGACCTCCACTGATGTTGAAGTCCAACGTAGCTGAGCTTCAAGCAAAGAAAGAAGCTGGCTTTTCGCAGTACAAGCTGAGCTTGGTGAAATAATCAGAACTGGTGTCGCAAGTTTTGCATATCCAGGAGGATTCCCAAGGACTTGCTGAACAAGCAAGCCCAGCTGAAGCTGATGCTCAATCTCTGAAGAAAAACTTGGCTTATTGGAGCAGCAAATGAGGCTAACCATCATGCTCAGAGGCTTTCTCTATCTCTATCAAACTGCACCATAGTTTTGCCTGTTGTCGAAAGGCAAACAACACTGAATTCAACTCTAATCATTGACAATACAGGCGATAGTTACTCTTTTGGTGGAATTATTTTTCCTTCATCTTCACCATCAACAATTCCAAAAATATGAGGCCTGCCCAATTGCTTCTGGATGAAGTAGTCAAGGTGGGAATCAAGGCCATTGATTTTAGCAATGAGAAATACGGCAGAGATTATCACGCAGCAGCAGAAGAGGTTACTTAAACTTCGATCCGAATTGAACATGGAGTTGTTTAACATTGAGTTCTTCACCGTTAAATGAGAATTGCCTGCTAAGATATTAAAGCTCATTGCATTATTAGAGGAGGTATGTTATCAATATTGCTTGTACTTATTTGATTGTGATTTGACGGCTTAATTAGGAAATTCATGTACTAATTTCCTCATTAATTTGTAGGGGAAAACAAGTTATGAGCAATACTACAATCATCTATGCACATCCTGGTTTTGGTTCATGTCAGGCTAAGGAGCTTTCAGATCACCTCGAAAGTGTTCTTGCTAAATGAACCAGTTTCCGTCAAGAGTGGCCTGGACATTGTGGAAGTTGAACCTCAGGTTAGCCAGATCCTTTATTGCATTGTCATCTACTAACATACCAATCATCCGAGTATACATGTTTGCAGCTTGTTGAATGGAAACTAAAGTTCTGTGACTATTCTTCTCACTTGATATAGTATTAACAAAGTAAATGGTATTCTGGTATATAAAAGAAGATGCACAATACAATCATATTAAGGCTCCATGTGGGCATTCATCTCATGATACTTTATTAGCCAAGGGTCTGAGGCATGATAACATGTTGGTGTCATGAGTATATGTGGCCCTATGTATCAGCAGCAATTGATGATTATAGATCTCCCTGAAAGAAAAGTCTTTATTTCTTTTCGCTTCCCTTCCCTTGTTTTAGTAAAACTTGTTCTCATCATCTTCTCTTCATTCAGGGTGTTAACAAAAGGCCTAATAGTCGACCGCCTTCTGGAGACAATGCAGCAAAAGGAAATACTTCTATATTTTGTTCTTTTTATTGGAAATGATCGATTAGGTGAGCACATATTTGAAGTGATAATGAGTGCAGCATCCAACGCATCCCTCACTCCAGTTGCTGAAGTTTTTGCTTGTCCAGTTGGCCAGAAACCAAGTAAAGTAGAGGATACTGCTAAGATTTTGAGAATGATGCAGTGTCTTGCCGCAGCTTCAGAGCAATCAACTAATAGCGAGCCCCACATCTATATCGAATTGGGTTGTGCAGGTAGATTACTGTAGACATCGTTTAGGTTTCTCTCAATGAGGATTGAGGCTTTAGAAAGTCTTGAGTTTCAGTTGCAATTGCCACAATTATAGTCATATTTGAGAAGTCTGTGAAGCTGAGAAGAACAAGCAACAACTTCTATTCTGAAATTAGAAGTTGATTCTGACTGGAAGAAGGCAAATACAAGCTTGGAAGTTGCATCAATGGAACTGAAAGTGCAGGTCTCTTGAAGAAATCTGTCGGCCAGATATGCTTTCATAATCAGTCTTTGGGAAATGTAGAAGAAGACGGCCTCCTGGATTGTAGAAGATGCACTCTTCAATTACTTCATATTCACTTGAAAATATATTTGGTTAATATTTCGTTTGTATCTCATTTTTTTAACAATTCAGATTGTACAACATTTCTCCTATTGATGTTTGTTTAAATTTAGCCATGATTTACCATTAGAATCACTGATACCTTTCAATCGCTAATAGTTAAATATACACTAACTCCCACAATAGTATACACCAAGTTCCGGATATAAACACGAAAGAGTAACTATGGGATAAGTTTTTCAATCAACCATTAATACAATGTTCTATCTTAATTGAACTCCTAAATCTAACTCGGAATTTTGACAAATTCTCGGAATCTGTGATTTTAATTTTTTTTTTTACGAGGAATTTCAAAACATCCATTCATTTTACCAAATTCTATATTTGGTTTAGTTCTAATAAAATCTTTTATATCAAATTATACCGAAATGTTCAATGAAAATTATCGATCACTTGATATTAATATTTTCAATATAAGAATTTGCTAATAGTGAGTTGTATATTGAGTGCTAAAGCATATGCATAATGATATCTTTAAAGAGCCAAACTCCATGCCAATTAATAAAAGAAATTTGCACAAACTAATTCAATGAATTAACCAAAGATTTTCTAAAGATGATTCAAAACCAAGGCGAACACAATTTTTCTTTTTCTAAATGAAGCAGTAAACAAATTTGTAAGTCGCAAGGTTTTGTTTTTTAAATAAAAGAATGCAAATAAAAAGGTACTACACATGTTAAATTTACAATTGCAAATATAGTATTCAAAATGAAAAGCACTAATTTTTAGCGTCAAAATTTTTTAAATTAAATTTATACTCTTTCATTTTAGAGGGCCGAGATTCCTTCCATCCAAATGGGTCAAGTCCATTTGGTGACACTTGCAAAAAATTAATAATTTTGGGCTTGTAATCTTCCAGCTTAACTTCTTTCTTAGCCTAAGTAGTAGCAATTAGACTATTAAGTGATTTAGTCATTCTCTTGCGTTTAGCACGAGTTATAAGTCCAACAATATTTGAGAGTGGATCACGGATGTAAGGATTATTCTTCAAGGCTGCATCTTTAGATCCTCCACTAGCGTTCATTACATCTACTTGCTCGTCCTCTCCATTATTGACAGCAACATGTCCCTCTTTAGTGTTAGCTCGATGGTCTCCATCATTTCCTCCTTTAAGCGAATTCGTCTTCGAATTCAAACTTTCATCAAAATCGAAATGAGATAGGTCAGAAACATTGAATGTACCACTAACACCATACTCACCTAGTAGTGCAAGTTTATAAGCATTGTCGTTGACTCTTGACACTAATTGAAAAGATCCATCTCCACGAGGATATAACTTTGATTTCTTAGAGTTTGGAAACCTCTCTTTTTGCATGTCTATCCAAAACCCAATCACCAGGTTTAAACACAACTTGTTTAAGGCCTCGGCTTGCTGACTTTACAAACTATTGAGTTTGATCTTAATATTGAGGAGATCTTTCTCATGATACCTCTTGATTGTCTCAGTCTTCTTAACTCCATCCAAAATAATTTGATCCTTCAAAGTTAATGGTGATAGATCTAAAAGAGTTAATGGATTAAAATCATAGACAATTTCAAAAGGTAAAAACTGAGTAGAAGAGTGAACAATTTTTTTATAAGCGAATTCAGCAATCGATAACACTCTTCCAATTTCTTAAAATTACTCTTGATGATCGCCCTTAAGATAGATCCTAGAATACGATTCATCACTTCAGTCTGTCCATCTATCTGTGGATGAGTTGTTGTTCTGAATAACTACTTAGTTCCCAACTTTCCCCACAGCGATTTTCAAAAGTAGCTAAGGAACTTAACGTCCCTATCACTAATAATTGTTCTCGGATCATGAAGTCTCACCATCTCTTTTAGAAACAAATCCGTAACATGACGTGCATCATCTATTTTTCTGCAAGTTATGAAATGTGACATTTTAGAAAATCGATCACAACTACAAAGACAAAATCCATATCTCTCTGAATTCTAGGTAAACCCAATATAAAATCCATAGATATATCCATCCAAGGTTGTGTAGGGATCGACAATGGTGTGTAAAGTCCATGAGGAAGCGATTTAGACTTTGCTTGTTTAGACTCCACGTATTGATTAATGATAGTCTGAACATCAGATTTCATTTTGGGCCAAAAGAAATGCTCTTGAAGCACATCTAAAGTTTTAGGAATACCAAAATGCCCCATCAAACCACCACTATGCTCTTCTCGAACTAAAAGTTCTCTAAGAGAACACTTAGGCACACAAAGGCGATTTTCTCGAAAAAGATAACCTTCATGTCTGTAAAACTTTTCAAAAGCACTTTGTTTGCATGCATTAAAAATATTAGCAAAATCGATATCATCTTTATATACATCTTTAATCAACTCAACTCAAGATAAGGCATCGGCAACAACATTGTCTTTTCCCTTTTTGTACTTAATCACATAAGGAAATGTTTTGATGAATGCAAGCCACTTAGCATGTCTTTTATTTAGACCATTTTGTGATTTAAGATACTTTAGAGATTCAAGATCAGTATGAATTATAAACTCTTTAGCCAACAAATAATGTTGCCAAGTCCTTTATGCACAAACCACAACATATAATTCCTTGTCATATGTAGGATAGTTAAGACAAGCTCTATTTTAATTCTCACTAAAGAAAGCAATAGCACGTTTATCTTGTATTAAAACTTCACCAATATCAATACCAGAAGCATCACACTATAACTCAAAAGTTTTATTAAAATTACGCAATGCTAAAACAGGAGCACTGGATAGCTCTCGTTTTAACTCATTGAAAGATTTCTCTTGAGCTGGTCCCCAACAAATTTAACTTCCTTTTTCACTAATTCATTTAAAGGGGCAGCTTTAGTCAAAAAATCTTTAACAAACCTTCTATAATAACTAGTCAAATCATGAAAAGATCTCACTTGAGTCACATTAGTAGGTGTAGGCCAATCCTTAATAGCTTTTATTTTAGATTCATCAACATGAATCCCTTTTGCACTAACAATGAAACCAAGAAACACAACTTCACTTACACAAAATGAACATTTAGGCATATTAGCATAAAGTTTCTCATCTCTCAATATTTCCAAAACGATTCTCACATGTTTAACGTGATCATGTAAGCTTTTAGAGTACATTAAGATAACATCAAAGTACACAACAACAAACTTACAAATACAACGACTCAAAACCTGATTCACTAATCTCATGAAAGTACTAGAAGTATTAGTCAAGCCACTGATACAAGCCAATTTTGTTTTTAAAGCAGTTTTCCATTCATCACCTTGTCTAACTCTTATTTGATGGTATCCATATTTCAATCAACTTTAGAAAAGATAGTATCACCATAAAGATCTCCAAGCATATAATCTAATTTAGGGATCGGATGTCTATACTTAATATCTTATTAATAGCACAACAATCTATGCACATACGCCACGTATCATCTTTCTTAGGCACAAGTAATACAGGAACAACACAAGGACTAATAGATTCTCGAATTTGAGCTTTAGCAAGGAGTTCTTCAACTTGCTTTTTTAGTTCATTTCTCTTTAGGATTTCCACGATAGGCAGGTCTATTCGGAATTACAGCACATGGAATTAGATCAATTTGATGTTCTATTTTTCGTATAGGAGGAAGTTCATTTTGCAACTCCTCGGGGAAAACATCCTTGAACTCTTGGAGTAACTTTTGAAGCACGTTAGGCAAATTGCTAGGAACATTGGTTAGTAATACGAAATTATCACGGTAAAGCATTAAAATCATACCTTTACAACTTGCAAAGCACTTCTCCACTAATTTAGGGCTAGAAAAGAAATTTTTGCACATCTGGTTCTTGAATGTGTAGACCATTTGGCGATCTCTTTGAAATGTCCAAAGTAGATTAAGCTTTAGGACTCTTCTCTTCCCTTTGTGTCTCTCTCTCTTGCATCATTATGAGATTATATTCATGAATTTGAGGAGATGAAAGAGGCGACAGGTATGAACATTGATCACAAATGAGTATTGATTTGTGTATCCACCATGCTTAGCTTTTTGGTCATACTCCTACGTCATCCTAAAAGTAGGTGACTTGCCTCCATAGGTACCACATCACAAAGTACTTCATCCTCATGTTTTTCAATAGAGAATGGCACATTCACTTGCTTAGTGACTTTAAGATCACCACAATTGTGCAACCATTGTAACCAATATGGTGTCAGATGCTTAATAGTAGGTAACTTCAGATTATCTACAAAATATGAACAAAGAACGTTAGCACAAGATCATGGATCAATAATAATTAAACATCCTTGTCCTTCACGCGGAATTTAGTATGGAAAATAATGTTTCTTTGTTGGTCATCTTCAGCTACTTATCCAGCCTCGGCATCAATCTCTTCATCTTCTTTTTCAACTTCTTCAAGAAGCTTTGGCATTTCATCATCTTCTTCATCCGTCTCACTTTCAAAACTTTCATCCTTTTTAAGGATCATAGTCTTTACAGTAGGACAATCAGAAGCTATATGTCCTCGTCCCTGGCATTTGAACAAGTAACATCTCTAGATATGACTTTGTTAGTATTACTAGATGGAGTAGAGTTATTAAAATTAGAAGATGTTTTAGGAATATTAGAAGCGTTAGAAGTACTTCCCTTTTCGAAGTACTTCTTTGAATCATCTTTCTTCCATGACGTAGAAGATTTATATGAATCAGACTTCTTCTTTGCCAATTGTCTCTCCACAATCCTAGCCTTATGAAGCATCTCGGTTGAATCTAGGTAGTGTGAAAATTCCACTAAATCGGCAATATTCTTGTTAAGTCTTCCTAGAAACCTTGCCACCATAGTCTCAGGTTCCTCTTTAATGTTTGCACGTATCAATACCAACTCTAGCTCCTGATAGTAATCAACAGATTTGGTTCTGTGTGAAAGACTTTGAATTTGTTTAACAAAAATCACCATAATAGTAAGAGGGAACAAATCTTTTGCGCATGAGTCTCTTCATTTTGTCCTATGTGAATACATCATCTTCATCATAGAGCTTTCTTTCCCTGAAAACTTGGTCACACCCTTCTAAAGCATAGTTATTGAATTGGTACTCGGCCATTCTAATCTTCTTAGATCATCATAATCCTACAAAGAAAAAACATGCTTTACCTTCTTTTCCCATGTTAGA